AGAGAGAGAGAGAGAGAGAGAGAGAGAGAGAGAGAGAGAGAGAGAGACTCCCACGTGTGTGTGTGTGTGTGTGCAGACTGTATAGAAAGAAAATACCTTTTCTGTCTTTGCTGGTTAAATGTGACGATCAAAGGTTGATTGCTGTCGGTTGTCGCGTACCTTTTTTTTTTTTGTTCTAATTATACTTCCTAATGGAAGTTAGCCATGCTTTGTCAGAAACCACCGCTGACATCCTCATTTTGTTCGCTGGCTGCCATTTACTGTTGTTGAATTGCGTCGGCCCTCCTTCCGCAGTGCTGCTGTTGTAAGCTGCTCATTAACGGGAGGCTTCAGTCTGTCTGGATGAGAGGGAGAATTCCCTGCGGGCTGCTAAATGGCCCCAGGACGTTCTGCTATTTCTGTGTCATTACGACGGTGACTGACAGGCAGCGAAATTACAATCTCAGGGGGAACAAGCTTCCCCCCCCCTCCCCTTCCTCTTCCTGTGCAACCGGCAATTCCATGATGGGGCCGAAACGTCCCCAACAACCGTCTGTCTTTCAGCTTCATCGTAGCGGTGTGAAGAACAGGCTGCTGCAGCACATTCATACTGCCCCCTTTATACATTCACCACATGTCTTCACTTGATTGGCATAATGAGACTAACTTATCTCACGCCGGTCACCGCAGGAAACAAATTGTTTTTGTGATTTCCCCGGAGAGTTCACATTTAAATGCGGAACTTTAGAAATTAAAAACTTTTGAGCATTTTTTTTTTTTCCCCTCCCTCAGCTCGTCCCTCTCTCTGTCCTCCCTGCTCCTCCTCTGTAGGATTCTGTAATTGGACAAAAAAAGACAAGTAGACAATTTTCCTCACCTCCACCAGCCAGCTGCAGGGTCAGTGTCAGCAGCAGCAGCTCTGTAATTGTCTGGTAATTACAGCCCCCCCCCCCTAACAAGCCAAACTCAATTAGAGTGCACAATTTAAGGGCCGTCCGCTGTCCTGACATTGGTAGATGGTGTCATAATAAATCCCCACTCTGAAGGGGGCAATGCACCACATCACCTGCAGTGCCAGCGTGTGCCACCAGAGGGCAGTGTCTACCTTTTGAATGTGGAGCTCTCGCGTGGATGTCGCCCTCTTCCTCTGGGAGACCACGATGACTTGCACAGCGTTGTTCTGACTGCAGGAGGTGCGCTGCACTCGCTGGTCTGTCTTCCAGCAGCTTTGACTTTCACGCTCACAGGTCTTTGTGTAGTTGTTTGTGCTGATGATAGACCACACTGTCACACACTGTCACACACTGCTGCAGGCCTTTACCCAGTAAGCAGGCACTTAATGATTCGGAGGTCAAGACATCTCAAAGTTTTGGTCAAATCCCTAAATCTGAATTAAAGTTTAATGACATATTTGTCGTTACGAACAACATTTAAGTCACTAAATCTCAACACTTAAAGAAACAGTGTTTTTTTAGTATATAATCATCTGAATTAAGTATCGTGTTTTCTTTGCCTCAGAACGAGCCGTTTATATCTACAGACAGAGCGAATCCTCCTTACGGAGTCAGCCGCCATGTTTGTACAGTAGCCCAGAACGGACAAACCAAACGCTGGCTCTACGAAGGGACATTTGTGTTTTGCCGTGGTAGTTTCAGTCGGTAGCAATCTGCATTCTCAACGCTAGAAGTCGCCAAATCCTACACACCTCAACTTTAAATATAGTCACTGAAAAAGTATTTAAACAATGAGGATATCTAACCTAGATATCTGAAGCTGGGGACCCCAAATGAGTCCCACAATGGGTCCCAAGATAATTTTTGTATCACAAAACTGTTAATTTTTTCAGATGTTCTTTCTCTCCACTGATCTTATTCATCACGAGCTACTCGCTCTAAATACTGAAGGTCCTAACGCAGAATTAATAAGTCCGGAGGCTTAAAATATTGATATATATTGATAAGCATACAAGTTTAACTGGGACATTCTCCCAAGATTGACGCGATGCAATCGGCTGGATAATTGCATCGAGTACACACTACAGTCCTGTTTCTGGAGAGCACCAGGACCAGACATCATTCAAGTCGTTGATAAGCAGCAGCTGATGTAATCTATGAGGTTTGTCATTTTAACTAGCAAAAGTGACTTTACGTACAATACATTACGTTTGTACATTGCTCTTTTATAGTTGGATCAATGAAAGATATTAGCTAGTCCATCACAAGATCAAAAGAACTTAGCAAACACCTCTGTAGTCGGTCAGGAGTTTCCATTTCTCCTTATTCTCACATCCTAAATCAGGTGGAGGCACGGATGGATTACTGAGTGAGACACAAAACTACAAAAAAAAGGCGGCAAAGCAACCACATACAAAAAACTATAACTACAAGTACAACAAAACAATTACGAGATTCAACACGACCACAAAGATGCACAAAACAACAAGAAGTGGTTACAGACAGCCATGTGGAAGAAGAGGTGGTGGGGCCCCTTCCATGTCGCTGCCCAACCGTCTCACAGTCCTTCCACGGTGGAGGGAACCAAAGGGAGCCAGAGAGAGAGGGAGAACACAGCAAACACGCAGATCTACAAATAGAAATGTACCAGGCTGGGAATTGAACCCACAGAGCCACCATATTTTATGGGTATATTTCTCTTCACATGCCGGACACACGCATGCCTGGCTGCGTTTTCTCTACATGATTGTTGCTCCCGTAGCCGTCAGACCCCCAGTGTCTGGGTCAAGGCCACTCTGCCGCCGACTGACTCCCTGATTAGCACGAGGATCTGAGCTGTTCGAGGTCCCGTCACGTCAGCTGCACTTCCGAGTATGACTTGATATGTGGGAGCACGGCGACACAGCTTGACCTCTCTTGTCTCTGGTGTCGTCTTTTCATTGCAGCGTGCGACGAGTGGACGGTGCTGCCTCGGCCGGACCTCTACCACGACGTCAACCGCTTCGGACACTCGGCAGTCTTCAGTGACAGGTAATCGTTGATGCAGCACTCGGCTAAAAGCTAAACGGTTTGCAGAGCGCTGCACAGAACGGCTTTATGGGTGATGTGATGAATGAAAACACAATAAGATGCAAACAAAACTGAGGAATTTGGACATGAGCACAAATGGTCATCTGAAAGACATTTTACTCCTCCAGTAGACTTCTTCATACTTGTAACGTCAATGACTTTAGTACTAAGGATACTCATGGTGGCCCCACTTTTTAATTTGTCATCAAAGATATAAGATGAATAGGGGGGAGATCTGCAGTACATATGAATATGTTTCTCAGATGTTCAGTGGGACTCTAATGTCTCTCAGTAACCTTGTTTCCGGAGCTCATGTAAACCAGGCTGACGGGTTCTATTTGCAGCGGTACCCACTCCTGTTTAATTATGCACTCGTGGCATTTAAAGACATATCCGTGTGGAATGTGTTGTACAAACGTGTTCAGCATGCGTCTGCTTCTGATGTAAATATGAGCTGTAGTCTTTTCATTTTTCATATGGATTGATTGCATTAAGTTTTACACGATGTGACGTCTCGGCTCTTCTGGTTGCTTTTTAGTTTGTTTATTGATGATCACATCGCTACACACGGGTGTTCGCACAATGTACATACCACACACATTCAACAGAGGCTAATAATATATATATACTGTGTGTGTGTGTATATATATGTGTGTGTATATATGTATATATGTGTGTGTATATATGTAT